GCAGTGTGGGCCCAGTCTTGGATGAACGCGCGGGTGAGGAGAGGTGGCCACTGAGGCCAAAGCGTGTCGGGGGGGTGTGGGTGCTCGGCGTGCGTGGCAGGGGCGCTGTACATTTGGGCGGTGGCAATGATGATGTGGTCCGTCAGGCGTTGTCGGTGAGCCTCGTCGTAGCTGTCAAGAGGGATGTGTAGTGTGACGCACCTGTCTTCGACGGAGGTGTCCTTGGGTCATCGTCGGTGGGACGCCATGGGGCACGTGGACAGGGAGTGTCGCAATTTGAGCTCCCATTCTGTGCTATGCCGTTGCACCCAGGTGCGTATGAAACTGGTGGTGAGGTCGGATGGCCAGGCGTGCACGAGTGACCGAGCTGCTGCGAGAAGGCGTGTGACGTACTCGGAGCGCAAGTCGTTGCGGTACCCCTTGAAGGGGACCCCGAGGGCGATGCACAAATCTTCGATGGTGATGTCAATGGTGCCGCGCCGCTGCTTCTTTGCAGGGCTCCATGATTGTAGGCCCGATTGCAGCGTCGCTTCCCAGCTGTCACCTTCGGACGCGATCCATGTGGTGATGAAGTCGGTAGTGAGGTGGCGAGGCCATTTGCTAAGGGTCGTGCGGTCCGAAGGCGAGCGTCGTGGAAGTAGGCGCGCTGCTGCGAGAATCAATTGTATGTACTCGGAGCGCAAGTCGTTGCGGTACCCCTTGAAAGGCAAGCCAAGGGCGAAACACCAATCCTCGATTGTGATGTCCATGCTGCCGTGTCGCTGCTTCTTTGCAGGGCTCCATGCTTGAAGGCCCACTTCCAATGTCGCTTCCCAGCCGTCCCCTTCGGACGCGATCCATGTGGTGATGAAGTCGGTGGTGAGGTGGCGAGGCCATTTGGTCGGGGTCGTGCGGTCCGGAGGCGAGGTTTGTGGAAGTAGGCGCGCTGCCGCGAGGATCCGTTGCACGTACTCGGAGCGCAAGTCGTTGCGGTACCCCTTGAAGGGCACGCCGAGGGCGATGCACCAATCTTCGATTGTGATGTCAATGCTGCCGTGCCGCTGCTTCTTTGCGGGGCTCCATGCTTGAAGGCCCACTTCCAATGTCGCTTCCCAGCCGTCCCCTTCGGACGCGATCCATGTGGTGATGAAGTCGGTAGTGAGATTGCGAGGCCATTTGGTCGCGGTTGTGCGTTCCGATGGCGAGGTTTGTGGAAGTAGGCGCGCTGCTGCGAAGATCCGTTGTATGTAGTCAGAGCGCAAGTCATTGCGATATCCTCTGAAGGGGACCCCGAGGGCGATGCACCAGTCTTCGACGGTAATGTTGGTGAGGCCCTGACGCTGGGCTTTACGCGGTTTCCATGTTTGGAGACCCGTGGTCAGAGACGATTCCCAATCGTCGCCATGAGTCACAATCCAATCCGAAATGAAAGCCGGGGTAAGGGTGCGCGGCCAACGCGTTGGCGAAAGCATGTGCGCTCGGGGGATGGCGATGCAGGAATATGGCCAAACGTGAAACACATTCCAGCAGGCCTGGGGGCACGCGCGCGTGGTCGGATCCAAGTGGCGACGGATCCCGGGGGCACCAGGGAAGGCGATGGGGCAATCTGGAAGACCTGTTGGGGACCTCTTGTGCAGCAGTCCGCAGAGCAAGGTGGCGGAGAAAACGGTGGCGCGTTTCGGAAGTGAGCTCAGCACGCGACCATGCGAGCCACCAGGGGGTTGGGAGGGGGCGCAGGTTGACATGGCGGGCGAGCAAAGGGAGTGGGTACAGCAGTCTGGAGAGAAAGGTGGCGGAGAAGACGATGGCGCGTCTCGGAGGTGAGCTCAGCACGCGACCATGCGAGCCACCGGGGCACTCTCGAAGGCGCCGAAATGCTCAAGATCGTGTCCAAGACAGGCCTGGGAAGGCACGAGCGTCGCCAAGATGGCCCAAGGTGCCTCGAAGACGGCCCAAGATAGCCACTGGATGCCGTAACATATCCTCATGGCGGATCTTTGGGGGTGCTCGTTTGTACAGCAGTCCGCAGAGCAAGGTGGCGGAGAAAAAGGTGGCGCGTCTCAGAGGTGAGCTCAGCACGCGACCATGCGAGCCACCGGGAGAGGGGGGAGGGGGCGCAGGTTGACATGGCGGGCGAGGAAAGGGACAGTCTGGAGAGAAAGGTGGCGGAGAAGACGATGGCGCGTCTCGGAGGTGAGCTCAGCACGCGACCATGCGAGCCACCGGGGCACTCTCGAAGGCGCCGAGATGCTCAAGATCGTGTCTAAGACAGGCCTGGGAAGGCACGAGCGTCGCCAAGATGGCCCAAGATGCCTCGAAGACGGCCCAAGATAGCCACTAAATGCCGTAACATGTCCTCATGGCGGATCTTTGGGGGTGCTCGTTCTGTGGCGGATCATCGGGCGCGCGCTCGGTTTGGCGGATCCTTGGGGGTGCTCGTTGTGGCGGTTCTTTGGGGTGCTTCTTTTGGCGGATCTCTGAGGGTTCTGTGGCGGATCTTCGGAGTGCCTGGTACGACAGATTGTCGTGGTGGTCGTTGTGGCGGATTCTCGGGACGCACTCGGGTTGGTGGATTCCTGGGGGTTCCCGGTTTGGCGGATCTGTGGGGATGCTTGTTCTGTGGCGGATGTTCGGGCACGCGCTCGGTTTGGCGGATCCATGGGGGTGCTTGTTTTTGCGTGTTCTGTGGCGGATGGTCGGGCACGCGCTCGGTTTGGCGGATCCTGGGGGGGTGCTTGTTTTGGCGGATCTTTGGGGGTGCTTGTTTTGGCGGATCTTTGGGGGTACTCGTTTGTTCTGTGGCGGATGTTCGGGCACGCGCTCGGTTTGGCGGATCCTTGGGGGTGCTCGTTTTCGCGGTGACATGGCGGGCGAGGGAAGGGAGTTGGAGGGCTCTGGAGGCTTCTGGGGGCCGTCGGACTTCCTCGGAGATTGGGTGGGGGTCGTCTCTGACTGCATGAGCAAGGAGTGGAGAGCATGCGGATTTCGGGGGCCGTGTGCGGGCGTGTTGAGTCCGTCTGAATATGAGAGTTCGCTGGGGGCTCCTCTGGCCTAGCTGTCCGGAGGTTAGGTGTGTACGCGACCAGGCGAGGTACGATGTGAGCTCAGCACGTATCCATGCGAGCCACATGGAAGGCAGAGGGGGAGGTGAGCAAGCGACCATGCGAGGGATGAGGTGTCCGGAGTACGTTTCCATGCGAGCCACAGGGAACGGAGGGGGCGCGGATTCAGACGACGGGCAAGAAAATTCACTTTGGGAGCTCTGGAGACTCCTGGTGGCTGTCGGGTTTCGTTGGAGGTAGTGACGGAGAGGTTTTAGAGGAGTAGGTGGCCCAGGTAGCGACGGTGCGTCTTGGAAGTGAGGTCAGTACGCGACCAGGCGAGTTACGATGTGAGCTCAGCACGTGTCCATGCGAGCCACATGGAAGGGGGGGTGAGCTCAGCACGCGACCATGCGAGTTCCGAGGTGACCTCAGCACGTGTCCATGCGAGCCACAGGGAAGGGAAGGGGCGCGGTGTGACATAACGGGTGAGGAAATGAAGCTGGAGGTGAGGTCCGTACGCGACCGGGCGAGTTACGATGTGAGCTCAGTACGTGTCCATGCGAGCCACACGGAAGGGAGGTGGTGAGCTCAGCACGCGACCATGCGAGCCACGGGATGGTCTCAGCACGTTTCCATGCGAGCCCAGAAGAGGATAGTCAGTGTGCGCATCACACTGGTTCGCGTGTGTTCCGAGTGGGCCCATCTTTGGCACTTCTGGGGGGGTGCTGGAGGACTCTGGAGGCTGCTCCGAACGTTTTGGGGACCTCGTGGGGCCTATGGAGGGGTCCTAGGGGCCTCTTGGGGGCTTCTTGGGAACCTCTGGGGGCCTCTGGAGGGGTGGTTGGGGCGGGGAGCCCGAAGAATCGGCCCCTGCCTCCGCTCCTGGGGTCCTCTTGGGCGTGCCTGGGGCGTTTGGGAGTCCGTCTTGGAGGCCTCTTGGGTCGTCTTGAGGACGTCTTGGACCGTCTGGGCGCTCTCTTGGATGTCTCTGAGGCCGTCTTGAGGCGATCGTTGGGGCCTCTTGGGCCGTCCTTGAGCTGGGAGAAGCGGAAAAAGCGAAAACCGAAAAAACCTTCAAAAACCTAAGGAAAACTGTTGATTTTGGAGGCTCGGTGCTCTGCTGGAAAGCTTCTCGGGGACCTCTGAGGGCGTCTGTGGGGCTCCCTAGGCCGTCGGGGCGCCATCTTGAGCGTCTTGAGTCGATCTTTCGGCGACTCGAGGCCTTCTTGAACCATCTTGTGGACCATCTTGGGGCCGTCCGTGCCTCCCGGGGCCGTGTCGTGCAGTCTTCTGCCGTCTTCTGCCGTCTTCTGCCGTGTTCCGCCGGCGTTCCGCCCGTGGCCGGGGCCCTGTCCCGGGGGGTCCCACCCCCCAGACCCCCCCAGGGGGACACTAAACGGGAACCCCTCCGCCAGGTCGGGGAAAAAAAGAGCGCGAAATACTGGAACCTGGGAGTACCCTGCACCCCCCCTCCAGAACTGACAGTATTAGCTAGAAAGGCCAGAGTACAGGAGGGGCCAGGTGGTTCCAGGGATTCGGGGCTCACACCAGAACGGCAACGGAGGGCTGGCTCGTGCCGCGAGCGCGAAGAAGAGGTGCGACAAGCGTTTCTCTCTCTCTCTCTCTCCCTCTCTCTCTCTCTCTCTCTCTCTCTACACACACACATCTCTGGCCCGTACCCCAGTGAAGGGAGGAGGGGGAGAAGTAGGAGCTGGAGAGGCAATGCAGGAGGAAAACAGAAAGAGGGAGGAGGGCGGGAGGGAGTGAGGGAGGAAGGGAGGCTGGCGGAGGAATCGGCAGGAGGCAGGAGGCAGGAAGAGAGGAGGGAGGGAGGGAAGAGGGAGGGGAGCAGAGGATAAAGAAGGAGGGGCCAGGGCAGCAAGGGTGAGAAGGGACAGGAGGGAAAAAGAGGCGTGACAAGGGAGTCCTCCCTGAATGCCCAGTTACTATTGACTTCCCACTTCCTCGGCAGCGCACCTCTCCAGCGGAGTCTCCAGCCTAGTGTTCTCCCAGTTGGCGAAGGCGCCCTTGTTCAGGGCCTGCGGTTGAGGACGAAGAGAAGGAGGAGGAGGAGGAGGAGGAGGAGGACGACGACGACGACGACGAGGACGAGGACGAGGACGAGGACGACGACGATGACGAGGAGGTCGAAAGGGGGATTGGATGGATCGGTCACGTCCAAATCAGCCCAAGGTGCAAGCTGACAGCGCACGAGGAGCCTTCCCAGGCCCCTACACTGACTGGGCACCCCAGGAAGCAAAGGAGGAGGCGGCGGAGCCGTCGGAGGTGGCGTGGGCCTTCAAATCCGTGACAAATCACGGACGGCGCCCTGGGACCCCACCCTCATGCTGCACCTTTCGAACCGGCCTGATCTGCGATGGTCCTGGGGCCCGACACTGGGCGAAGACGCCTGGCGCATACACCAAACACAACTGATCGGCCTGCTTTCCACCACCACCACTATAAGTGGGAGGGGGGAAGGAGGAGGACGAGGAGGAGGAGGAGGAGGAGGAGGAGAAGGAGAAGGAGAAGGAGGAGGAGAAGGAGGAGGACCCCCTCCCCTTCATATTTATGGTGGTAGGGGTGGAAAACAGGCCCACCAAAAACGCCCGGATCTGAGGGATCGTTGCTGCCCAGCGCCCCTACATTGGCCGCTGTCGGCTTCTGGTGCGCGGCGCTGGGAGGCCGAGGGGAAGGCAAATCCAAGCGCGCAGGCCAGCAAGCTGACAAGCCTTGGGGCACCAAACCAACAAATCGCCCGAGGCATCCTCACAAACTGCTATGACAACAACGGCGTTTTGTCAACCAAACAAACAAGTTGCCTGAGACATCCCCAAAATCTTGGCACGAACGGAAGAGAGAAAACACCCTTGGCGGTTCCCCCGCGGGGGTGCTGAAACTACCACCTCGCTCGAGACATCCTCACTATTTGCTATGAGGGCAAAAGTGCCTGGGCAAACAAGCAGGCAAACCGCCTGAAACATCCTCACAATCTGGACGAGGACGGAAAAAAACACCCCAAAAAACAACAACAACAACAACAACAACAACAACAACAACAACAACAACAACAACAACAACAACAGCAGCAGCAGCAGCAACAGCAACAACAACAACAACAACAACAACAACATCAACAACAACAACCACAACAACAACAACAACAACAACAACGACGACAACAACAACAACAACAACAAAACGGTCGGACCCCACGCGAGAATCGATTCGGTTTGTCCCTCGCCCTTTTCTTATTCGACTGGCGGAGGCCTTCCTGCCGCTCTTTGCGTCCTCCTCCCCCTCCTTCTTTTCATCCTTCCCCCCCTCCTGTTCATTCTCGTCCTACCCGTCGCATGTATGATCCTCTTGCTCTTCCGCCTCCTCCTTCTCCTCCTCTTCCTCCTCCTCCTCCTCCTCCTCCTCCTCCTCTCCTCCTCCTCCTCCCTCCTCCTCCTCCCTCCTCCTCCTCCTCCTCCTCCCTCCACCTTCCTCCTCCTCCTCCTCATCCTCATCCTCATCATCATCATCATCATCATCATCATCAGCATCATCATCATCATCATCAGCATCATCATCATCATCATCATCATCATCATCATCATCATCATCATCATCATCATATCATCATCATCATCATCATCATCATCATCACCATCCTCGTATTATTCCTCATCTTCGCCCTTTCCTTCCTCCTCCTCCTCCCCCTCCTTTTCCCCCTCCTCATGTCCGCCCCGCCTGTTCTCCTCGCGCACATGTCCTTCCACCTGGCAGGAGTGCGGGCGTCGATTTTCCTCGGCCCCGTCGCCGCCTCGGCCAGCGCGGGCGCAATCTCTAACTGCAACATTGCGCAGCGGCCGCTGGGGCAACCCCGCAGGCCAGGCCGCCAGGGCAACCCCGCGAGCCGTTGGCGCGCGAGGCCAAGCCGTCGGGACAAACCCGCGGGCTTCGAGCGGGGCGCCGCCGCGCTCCGGCGGGGGGGCGGCACGGAGCCCAGCTCTGGAACTCCAGGAGCGCCTTCCGCGCCGACGCTGGCGGCCCACGCTCCAGGAACTCTCGCGGCGGCCGCAGGATCAGCACGTTCCGCACGCACGTGGCGCGGGAGAGCATGATGTAGAGACGCAGCCACCACTGGTCGTCCGACATGCCCGCGCGGCCAGCGCCCTCGTCGCTCGCGCAGTCGATGGCGACGCCCTCGCGCAGCGTCTGGCCCTGCGACAGCGCGGAGGTGAGGTGGGCCGCGCGCGCCACGGTGAACCCCGAGCGGCGCACGGCGCGCGGCCCCGAGCTCTGCCACGTGAGCTCCTGCTCGCTGGGCCTGAACACTTGCCAAATATTCAAGCCTCAGGAGCCCAAAAGTGACGACAGTTACAGGGTTCCGATGACCCGCTCGGATTAGTAACATGATCTGCGGCCCCCATAGGGAGGAGGCTCCCGCCTGAGACTTCCTCGCAATTCACTCACAGACGAGGTTCCCACCTGACATATCCTCCATTTTCAAGCCACAGGCAAAACAAAAGTGACGACAGGTACACGATTCCGATGACCCGCTCGGATTATTAGCATGACCTGCGGGCCCCATAGGGAGGGGGCTCCCGCCTGAGACTTCCTCGCAATTCACTCACAGACGAGGCTCCCGCCTGACACTTCCCCCATATTCAAGCCTCAGGAGCCCAAAAGTGACGACAGTTACAAGGTTCAGATGACCCGTTCGGATTAATAACATGAGCTGCGGGCCACATAGGGAAGGGGGTTCCCGCCTAAGACTCCCTCACAAATCACTCACAGACGAGGCTCCGCATGAGACTTCTGCCATACTCTAGCGTGAAAAGGCCAAAAGTGACGACAGTTACAGGGTTCCGATGACCCGCTCGGATTAGTAACCTGATTTGCGGGCCCCATAGGAAGGGGGTTCCCGCCTGAGCCTTCCCCGCAATTCACTCACAGACGAAGCTCCCACCTGAGATGAGTGAGTGAGAGAGTGAGTGAGTGAGTGGGTGAGTGAGTGAGTGAGTGAGTGAAGATGATGATGATGATGATGATGATGATGATGATGATGATGATGATGATGATGATGATGATGATGATGATGATGATGATGATGATGATGATGGTGGTGATGATGATGATGATGATGATGATGATGATGATGATGGTGATGGTGATGATGATCATCATCAGCATGATGATGATGACGATGGTGGTGGTGATGATGATTATAATGAAAGTGTGAGTGAGTGAGTGAGTGGGCGGGTAGGTGAGTGAGTGAGCGAGTGGGTGAGTGCGTGAGTGAGTAATGAAAAACAAGACCCCACTTGGGATGTGGGGAGAAAAATCAGTGGCGGGTCCCCCTGGGAATACATCCTGCGAGTCCGAATACGAATGCGTCGCAAGTCCAACTGCGAGGGAGGATACATGTGAGGGAGTCTGAGTATGAGAAAGTCTGAGTGTGAGTTAATCAGAGTGCGAGTGAGGCTGCGTGCGAGTGAGTCTGAGCGCGAGTGAGTCTGAGTGCGAGTGAGCCTGAGTGTGATTGAGTCGGCATGTGAGTGAGTCAGGGTGTGATTGAGTCTGAGTGCGAGTGAATACGAATGCGAGGAAGCCTGAATGCGAGTGAATACGAGCGCCAGTGAGCCTGAGAATGAGTGAGTCTGAGTGTGAGTGTGTCTGAGTGCGAGCGAGTGTGAGGGTGAGGGATTCTAAATATGAGCTAGCCTGTGTAAGAAATCACGAGGAGGAGGAAGGTGTGCGGTGGGTCGGCAGTGTCCAAGTAACTTCGGGAGACCGAGAAACCGCATGCAAAGCGATCGCGGGGCGCCCGCGCATGATCTCTCTTTGCCCTGTTTGCTGCAAGGGGGCGGTATTGGCCCAGGTATGTCACTGGTCGGGTGGGGCAGGGGGTGTAAATAGATACGGAACAAGGGTAAGCCTCGAAAACACCTACGCCCTAAAGGGCTTGTGGGATTCACCTGCAATGCGCTTGGAGTACGGTTCAGCCCACGATTACGACGACGACTGGGGGGAGGGGCCTGTGTCCGCTCGAAGAACATGCCGTCCACCAGGAAAGGCGCGGAGGATCCCGGGCCCGGGCCTCTGCGCCACCACGCGCGCGGGGAGCGGCGCTGGCCGCGCGCGCGCGCGCCCGTGCCCGGCCCGAGAGCTGGCCAGCGGGACGCGTGATTCAGACCCCACTGCCTCCTCCTTATCCTCCTCCTGCTCCTCCTCCTTCTTCTTCTCCTCCTCCTCGTCCTCCTCCTCCTCCTCCTCCTCCTCGTCCTCCTCCTCCTCCTCCTCCTCCTCCTCCTCCTCCTCCCTCCTCCTCCTCCTCCTCCTCCTCCTCCCCTCCTCCTCCCTCCTCCTCCTCTCTCCCTCCTCCTCCTCCTCCTCCCTCCTGCTCCCTCCTCCTGCTAGCCTACTACCTGCCTGCCTGCCTACCTGCCTGCCTGCCTGCGTGCGTGCGTGCGTGCGTGCCTGCCTGCCTGCCTGCCTGCCTGCCTGCCTGTCTGCTGCCTGCCTGCCTGCCTGCCTGCCTGCCTGCTGCCTGCCTGCTGCCTGCCTGCCTGCCTGCCTGCCTGCCTGCTGCCTGCCTGCCTGCCTGCCTCCTCCTCCTGTTCCTTCCTTCCTTCTCCTCCTCCTCCTCCTCCTCCTCCTCCTCCTCCTCCTCCTCATCCTCTTCCTCCTTTTGCTGGTCCACCAGGTCTCCGTCTGTACCTACTCCTCCCTCCCCCCTCACCTGTCTTTACATGTTCGGGGACCGTGTGTCCTACCTGTACCCATCGGGGCCCGTCCCCCCATGGGAGCACCTGCGGTGCGGATTGGCACGACGACGGCTAGCGTGGCGCGCCCTGTCTTACATGTTCTAGGACCGCGTGTCCTACCTGTACCCATCGGGGCCCAGCCCCCCACATGAGCACCCACGGTGCGTGCTGACGCGACAACGCCTGGCGTGGGACGCCGGCCTCTTTCCTCCCTGTTCGCTTCTTCCCCCCCGCTCGCTTCCCCCCCTCCCATGGCGGCAGCGCCCGGCACTGCGCGGTTTCGGCCCGGTGCCGGGCGCTGCACCTTGCCGCCTCGGCGGCCCCGCTCGCCATGGCGCTGCGCGGCTCAGGCCCGGCCCTCGGCCATGCGGACGTCAGCGCATCGTGTGCGGCTGCTACCCGTTTTCACGCGCAGACGGTGCAGGACAGATTTTCTCCCTGCACTCCACCGACATCCTGTCGGACAAGGACGGCCCTCGTTTGTGGCCGCACATCACGCAGGCTGCTCCCTGGTCGTGGATTGGACTACCACCCCGGGCCTCATCCACATCACCAGGTGGCACAACGTTGCACATCGCCTTCGTGGTGCTCTTTTTCCTCCTGGGCCTCCTCCGCATCATCCGGTGGCACAACGTTGCTCATCGCCTTGGTGGTGCTCCTCTCCCTCCTGGACGTCGACCTGGTCAAGTGGCACGTCCTCCTCTGCAGTGCTTGAGGCTGGTGTTCGCGACGTGCCGTTGACGGCAGCACCACATCGCTCGCCCTCCGGGTCTTCGCCTCCGGTAACTGTCCGCGGCGTACCTTTTCCTGTGCAAGCTCTTCGGCACCGCCTGCATCCCGGGCTCCGCCCGCTCAGGCCGCCTGAGGCCCCGCCCTCCTGTGCCATGTCTCCCTAATCAAAGCTGTGCGTAGCCCGCCTAGCTTTTAGCGGAAGAGGTTCGCTCTCGCCCCACCGACCAAAACTATCCTGACCCTCCTCTTCCTTCCCCACGTGTTCCCCGAAGGGTTTCCACAACGGTTTGGGGAACGCATGGTACAATAGCTTGGCCAACATAGGCATATCCTAAAAGAAAGGAGGCGGCGGTGGTTCGCCGTAGGTATCTTCGATATTGCACCGCATTGTCTGCACATTGGACGTGCAAGAACCCACTGCATTGGGTCAACGCTGGCAAGCATGTTTTTTACAGAAACACGCACCAACAGGCAGCAGTCCTGGAAGAGCCACTGAACTCTAAGGATATCTAATGGCGAGGCCACACCGTCGAAATGTGGTACCACGCACACCCGTCAACACGTTTGGGGAGTGGGTGGAACGCGCGGGCGCCCTGAGAACGGGAGGGGCCACAGGCAGCTTGGGCGCCTGATGCGCCAGAAGAACATAGTGCGCAGGGACGCGCGATTGTTCTCAAGAAGCGGAAATTACGAAAAAACGTCAGAGGCCCGATGCACGCCAATTACTGCAAGCACGGTTGCAGGCACTCCAAATAGCCAGCCCAGGTCCTGCTCGACACGGCAGAGACACACAGGGTGCCTGCAGTTCTTGGGATGCCAGAGCGCCTCGCCCCTCTCTGCACTGGGCTTTGCCGTACGGGATGCCACTGCGACCAGCAGCGCACAAGCCCCTCCCTCCATCTGGGCGGTCGAAACCCGCGCAGGCTGCACCACCTCAGTTGAGTGGGAAAGCTCAGATTTGGACGGTGTGTTCGCTCTCCATCTCGGCGCCGTCCTTGCTCTCACTCTCACCCAGGCTGTCGACAGACTCACGCCGGCTCTGTGCTGCACCGAACGAGGATGGAGCGGGCGCATGCAAGCCAGGCTCGGCGTCCGTGCGCCGCGAATGAGCACTCTCCTGAGGGAACCGCCCGCGCTGTGTCGCCAAGGCCGGGCTGCTGTGCCCGCGAACGGGAGTCGAGGGTGACACGCGTTCCCTGCTGTGGTGCCGGCTCGAACGGTCATCGCGGCGGCGCCGCGAGATGCTCACCTTGCTTACCTTCATCCGCACAGGTGGACCTGAGCCGGCAAAGGTCATGGCGCCGTCGACGTCAGAAGAATGCGGACGACGGGACTCTATACCGTTCGCAGCACCGACGCCTGGTACAGCGAAGCTGGGGGGGCTGTAAGGTACGCCGTTCCTGGTCAGAATATCAGGGGGCAACTTACAACTGCCGCGGAAGGCCACCCGGAAGCTGGCACTCGCGGGAGGGCCGGCTCTGTCAGGCCACGATTCGCTGTTCACCGGCCGCAGGATCGCATTCACAAAATCCTCCATCCATGCACGACAGCTCAACCACCCCGCGACCCACTGCTGGAGGCTCTCGTTTGTCAGCAGGCTCGCGTCCACAACTGGGTTCGTGGACTGGCTCTGCCTGATGGTAAATCTCAATGTGTCGAAAGTGATGTTCACCTCCCCAGGCTGCTGTGTCGACTGCTGCCAGGAGGCCCCGTCGTACGAGTCTTCCGCCTCCCCCCTCAGGGGCCCCACGCGGTCTTCCTGCTCTGGCAGCTCGGCGATCGAGCTCTCCTTTGGACGCCCGAAATGGGTACGGAACAAGTGGGTACAATGCCCAACAACAAATGTTGTCCCAAACCAGCAGCGGCCGCTGTTGGGCAGGCGGCCTTCTGTTTCAAATGTACACAGGCCGCGGCGACACCGGCAGCGAGTCCTGCTCAAAATGAACAGGAACCGCTGTTGGGCATTGTACCAATTCTTCCCGCACCCATTTCGCTCGTGCCGAGTCTCCTTCTCTGCCCTGGGGTCCCTCGTCGTCCTCGAGCGGATCCCGGCCGCCGAGGCGCTGTCGCCGGCCACCAGGCTGCAGTCGCTATCCTGGTCGTCGGGCCCGTGGGTCGTGCTCGGGGCGTCGACGGAGGTGCCCGTTCCGGCGCGGGAGCTCTCCCTCCCCACGGAGATCCCGGAGGTGCCGCAGCCGGTCCCGCCACCGGCCGCCCTGCCGCCGCTGTCGCCCACCTCTCGGGTCGGGCGGAAGGGGGGGATAGCAAATGGGGGGGTTGAGAATCAGCTCACGTAGCTGATCTTCCCGGCGCCTCCCGGCGCCAGATGCGACTATGCATCGAGGAATGGGCCCCTCGGTGGGGCCGAAACCAGCTGCATGCAGCAAATGTCGTAACCCCCCTTTGCCCAATCCCCCCTTTCGCTTGGCCCGAACCTCGCAGATGCCGATGAGGTGCTCCACCTGCTTGCTGCCGAAGTTCTGGAACTGCGTGTGGAACAGCTGGACCTGGATCGAAGTCGGGGCTGTCCCCCTACAGGCGGATTTTGGACTAGAAAATGGAAAATACTCAAAAAAATAGGAAATACAAAACATACCCCAAAATTGTCAAAAAATTTGACTGTTCCACCTGTGAGGAACACGCCCGACTTAGACCTGGATCCACGAGCCCCGCCCGTCCAGCAGGTGCACGTTCAGCGACTGCGCCGGCGGAGGGTTACTCTTCGCGTTGCTGACGTCCGGCGGCGCCCGCGCCACGAACTCGAGGAAGCGCTGCCGGTCGGTCGAGCCCATGAAGTCCGCGAGGTGGGCGCCCTGGAGACCGTTTTTTAGGGTCGGGCGATCCTCCTCCTCCTCCTCCTCCTCCTCCTCCTCCTCCTCCTCCTCCTCCTCTTCCTCCTCCTCCTCCTCCTCCTCCTCTTCCTCCTCCTCCTCCTCCTCCTCCTCCTCCTCCTCATCCTTCTCCTCCTCCTTCTCCTCCTCCTCCTCCTCCTCCTGCTCTACCCCGGGTTATCGGGCTTGCCCCCCCAGGATAACCTAACCTTGCTGGTTGTGCAGGTCCGCGGGAGGGGGGGCGCGGGCATATGCACGGCTGCCCACAGCGCGAGAGTTAGGTTATCGGCCGGCCCCCTCCTCCCCCCCCCGGAAGGTCCCGGGTTATCGCCGATTCACAAAAAATAACGGTCTCCTGCGCGTCCCGCGTGTTCAGGAGCAGGTCCAGCTTCGGAGCCCTGGCCGCGACGCACAGGTCGGTGTCCAGGGTGACGACCACGTCGTAGAGGGCGTAGAGCAGGCAGTGGAGACGGAGCTCGATGACCGGAGGGCTCCAAAAGGGGTTTTCGGGGAGGGGGTTTTCCAGAGAGAACCCCAGGGGCCTCAGAACCTCGTCAAAACAGGGGGTGCGAAGCCCCTGAGGGGACCCCTCCTGGAAAACCCCCTCCCCAAAAACCCCCTTTGGAACCCTCTGGGATGAGCTCGAAGGTCTCCAGGGAGCAGCGGAAGACGCCAAGGAACCGGAGCTCCACGAGGACGATCCATAGGCACATCCCGAGGGCGAGGAGCACGCCCTCCGCATCGCTGGGGAACCACTGCGCGTCCCCGCGCAGCCAGAAGATTATGGCGCGCGCGATGCCCTGCAGCAGGATGAGGGTGCACGCCACCTTTCGGCGGCGAGCGAGGGGGGAAGTGAGAAAGAGAAGGAGGCCTTCTCAGAAGGCGGGGGGGACTTCTCGGAAGCCCTTGCGCCTTCTGAGAAGTTGTTTTGCCTGTCTTCGGGGAAGGCTTAGAGAACTTCTCAGAAGGCTGGGGGACTTCCGAACCTTCTGAGAAGGCCTTCTCCTTCTCATTTCCCCCCCTCGCTCGCCGCCGAACCTTGGGGTGGATCGTGTTGGCGCCGACAAGCGCCTGCAAGAAGAACCTTTTGAACGTGTCCACCAGCACTGCCACCATACTGTCGCTTCGCTGGGCTATGTCCTGCCCCGCCAGCGCCGTGCAGACGGGCCAGAAGCACAGCATCGCGAAGAAAGAATTCAAAGACTTGGTCGTAACGCCATCGGGGAAAAGTTCTACGAACACGCAAACGACCAACAGGAAGGCCAGGGGGATGGCATCGTGGTGAAACCTGTCCCCCCCCGAGCTGACGATCCTCAGGCCGTTCAGCAGCACCCACAGCGCCAACACTGGAGCCAAACGGCCCGCGCCCTGCTTTGCGAAGTTGAGGCGCTCCCTGTCCATCATGTTCCGCGCCTGAGTATCGTTCACCCGATCCCCATCCGCAGCGGCGTGGCCTGGGCTCCACTGGCCGATTTACCCCCCTAGATGAGGATATATACCGTCCCCTTCGGGTTTTGAGGGGTGTATCCCCATCTAGGGTGGTAATTTGGTGGGGGTCTGGAAGGGGACGAGGATGGGGATGGGGGTCGGATAAACGATACTGGGCGCCTGCGGGTCGTACTTCCCGAGCTCCCAGAACCATTTGACCACGAGCGTGGCGCCGTCGCGGAGGGCAAGGCGGGAGCAGGCGGCACCCCTGGCCGCCCAGGCGAGGCCCCTGGAGCAGAAGAAGGCCGGAGGCCCCGGAAGGTGGCACCAGCACCGAGGCCGGCCGTCGTCTCCACGGGACAAGGTTTAGGTCGGGCATGTCCCCCTACAGGCGGGCTTGGGAGGAGAAATTGAACATAGTCAGAAAAAAAGCTGGTCAAACATGGTCAGAAGCAGTCGAAATAAGCGTCCCCAGACTATGTTTTCACTGTTTCTGCATTTCCCCCCTGTAGAGGGACAAGGCCCGACTTGAGGCGAGGTGGTCCCCCATGATCGCGTCGGTGGGACAACTTCGGCCGCCTACGAGGCCCA